GATCAGCTTTCTGGCTTTGCTGTTTTACTACCATGATTTTGCACAGATCCCTGACACTCCAGAGCAGGAGTTCTCAGGGGCAGGGAAACACCCACAGGACAGGACCATCAGATGTCCAAGGGCAGTACAGCTTTAACACTTCTATTATCCACCTGGCATACAGTTGCAGCTCTTCTAATACTAAGTCAATTTAGCACACAGGTGAGGTTGTTACAAGCACACAGAACACGTGCATCATGTCCTAAGCAAGTTTCACAATGGTTTCCTTACATAATGTGGCTACCTTAATTTTTGACTAACAGGTGGCATTGAAACCCACCATAAGCGGGTTGTTTTGCTGGAAAAGGAGATATCAGACCAAGTAAGCTCATCCATTCCAAAATTTAAGAAACTACAGCCTATTTGAGTTAATACAATATTTACAGAATTATAGAATGTCTTGAGTTAGAAAAGACTTTAAAGATCACCTACTTTCAATCCCCCTGCCATAGGCAGAGATGCCACCCACTAGATCAGGTTGCCTAGGGCCTCGTCCAACCTGACCCTGAACACCTCCAGGGATGGGGCATCCACAACTTCTCAACCTGTGCCAGTGCCTCACCACCCTCTGAGTGAAGAATTTTCTGCTAATATCTAATCTAAATCTACCCTCTTTTAGTTTGAAATCGTTTCCCCTTTATCCTACCACTATTTGCCTATGTAAAAAGTAACTCTATCTTTTTATAAGCTCCCTTCACTGAAAGCTGCAATGAGGTCTCCCTGGAGCCTTCTCTTCTCCAGTCTGAATATCCCTGTGGTGGTTTTAGCCAGCTGGGCAGCTGAGCTCCACCACAACCACTCTCTCATTCCCACTCCTCAAAGGAAAAGCAGGAGAAAACAGGATGCAAAGGGCTCAAGGCTTGAGATATTGACAAGGAGATCACTCAACAATTATTGCCATGGGCAAAACAGACTCAGCATATGGAGGTTAACAAAGCTTGTTACCCATTGTTAACAAGTTAGAGTAGTGAGAAACTAAAAACAAACTAAAAACTCATCCTCCCCCATACAACATCTTCCATTACTGCCCCTACTTGGGTAGGAAGGTCTCATTAGGAAGCTAAGAGCTGTAGGTATCACTTTTTTGTTTGTTTGTTTTAAAAAGAGGACACTGTTTAGGGGAAATTCTTTTTTAAAAACAGGTGACACTTACAAAAGGTTTGATCAAATGAAAAATGTACAGAAGTCTGGACAACAGATGTCAAAGCAAAAAAGTTGTCCTTTCACAAGGAGGAATATAAAAGCTTCCCAGCACACTCACTGGCAACAGACACCCAGAGCTGCCATCAATAACAATAACACATCCCAGAGAAGGAGGAAGCATCTTGCCCGATATAACATTTTACATTGACAGTGGTAATACATCATTTTATTTGTTATGGTGACTGTTCCTGCATCATTTTATATATAGGGAGCAGAAATAAGACAATTCTGCTCTTTAAAAAATTGCCCCAGTTTTCAAGTAAGCACAAGAGTCTGTTTCAATGCAGACTAACTAAGAAAAGTCGGACGATCCCAAAGCCTGGTTTTGCCAAAAGAACTAAAAGAAATATTTTGACTTTTTTTTTTTAATAAGATGAGAATCATTTTAGTGTTCTGATCTTTTCTATTCAACTTCTTAATGACGTCCAAAAAAAAAAATTAAAAATGAGTGGGTAGATATTCAGTATGTTCTTTGCCAGTCTATTCTGTTCTCAATCTGTACACAGTTCCTGTCCATCTTGAAGAAAGATGGATCAGATGGAAAAAAAAAAAAAAAAAAAAGCAAAACAAAAAATATCAGGCATTTGTATATGATTCCATCCAATTTCAGTATTCTTGGCACTATTAACCAATTCCATTTACTAGACATAATAATAAAAATCTTATCTAGTTAAGATGTCTAGTTAAGAATTCTATTTCCAATATCATCCTTTTGTTCTCACAAACGAGCCTGTCCTGGACCAGCAATAATGGGCATCATGCCCCTGCAAAGGGTCCTATAACTGGGCATTAAAACTTGGGGGGTCTTAATCATGGCCCCGACCTCTGCTACGTGAGGGCCTACACAACATTATGAACTTTTCACATAACTGCCTTGATAAGCTAAGTAATAATCTTTGGGAGGGTCATTGTAATGATTTGTTGCTCAATACCTCTAACTTCAGTAGGAGTTTCCATACAATGTATTTGGTTATTTTCTCTTAATTCAAAAGGGCTTCTCCAAAGTCATCACATGTAGAATCATTGTTCTAAAAAGAGATGTTTTTATCTGTACAAATACTTAGTATATATAAAAGTGCATGTCAGTAACTAATGCATAAAAATGCACACAAAGGTTTACAGGTTTTATAAGAACCAGTAAATGTGGCTATGCAATGGAGAAGGCTTCTTTAAATGTAGCTTTTTATGGAGTCCTCCCAAAATATATATACATATATACATACACATTTGTTCTTTGCCCTGTAAAAGTTATTTCCATCTCCTCTCTCCCCCTGCTCCTAAACAGTAGCCAGGAAAATATATTTTCTTTACTGATTTGCAAAAGCTATTTTTCCCAACTGGGTTCTTAAGCTGCACACTGCACCCTGTAAAAAATATTTACCCTGATTTACAAAATCTATTTTTCTCCTTGGGCCTCTAAGCTGCTGTTGCAGAAGTGATAAAGGTGTTCTCATTCAGACTTTTATTGTTTCTGGGCCCCTTGCCACCTGTTTTTATTTTTCCCCTCTTGCACTTTCTTCCCATCTCTTTTCCACAGGCACCACAGCTGTCCATCAGAGCTGATTCCGTGTAACAGGAGTCACATTTTCACATGTTATCTGACCCATAACGAAGAAGTAGTAAGTACTCTCCAAGTCACATGCCTTGGCCAAGAGGTGAATTTGATCAGAAAGCAGAAAAAAATAATAAATATCAGCTAATCACTTTTATTACGTCCACAAAAAAAAAAAATAAAAAATTGCTTACCTTTAATTCTGTCTTATAGAATCATAAAAATCATCTAGGCTGGAAAAGACCTTCAAGATCACAAAGTCTGATCATCAACCTGACCGAGTTCAAGTTTATATTCACAGCATATTCAAGTCTATATTCACAACCAACCCACTTCCCTTGTCTCAGAACTCCCTACATCAATCAAAGGGATCTTTGTGAAAACCAAACGCATTTGAGTTCACTTTAAACATCACATGGCTTTTTCTTTTTTCTTAAGTAGTCTTGTGTCATTACATCAGCTTATTTCAGTAGTAAATGTCATATAGGTTCAAATGGCTACCATCATTATGAACAACAGTTACAAGGCTTCCAATAATTTTGTAGACTGCAGCTAAGGTCTCTGTTTAGACAAAAGCTCACTATGCTAAAGAAACCATGAAACAGTCCAGCCTATAACAAACTACTAAAAATTTCATCTACCAAAATCCAGAGGAAACATCGATGACCAGCAATTCTCAAATAAATTAATAACCATTCAAAAAGATAAATTGTTGCATGCAACTGCAAATTAAAATGGTGTCCTAGAGATTAAATTTTGAGTTCAATCAATTTTACATATATTCAAATATAATCCAATTTAGCTTTATGTACTCACAGTTATTTTCTTCTCATAAAGCATAATTGTTCTTTGATAGTCTGCTTTTCATTTGCCTTAAATTATAAGCATAGTGTTATGCATTTTGTGTCATCCCAGTGGTGACTTGTCCTGTTACTCCTCCTCTGCTCTGACCTGGTGAGCAGGGAGAGTGTGCTGCCACCCAGGCAGATGACACCCACTTTTGCATGAAAGTGGTGACTTTATGACTAACAGAAATCATGATGATACTTCAAAATGGACGTTAAAACCATGGGGGGAGGGGGAAGGGAGCACAATTTAGGATACATTTATTTTAATGCAACATTGTAGGCATACAACTCTCTCCTACTATGTCAAAACTCAAATGCTTAAGATGCTTTTCTATGGGAAAAAAAAAAAAAAAAGGAGTTCGAGTATTAATGTTAGGCGAATCTAGACACCTGCAGAAGATCCACTAGCTGTATAAATAAATTTAACTGCACTGCAAAGCGGCTGGGGTCCTTTAAAATCCATGCAAGATGGCATCACTAGGGGCCCTATGTTATATGCTAGTGTCCTATGATGACATCTATCAATTTATATTCCTGGGCTGTGCCTAACCCATCTCAAAGTGCTACATGCATCTCATGTCCAGAGCTATGGGTACCTTCAACATCGTGTCATTGTGGTTTCCTTTGAAAGAATTACAGACAGTTCCTTTGATTCTATCCCAATTCATAAAAACAAACAAACAAACAAACAAACAAAACCAAACTAACAAAAAAACACAACCCCACTAATACTTTCACAGGAAGCCTCTGATTAAAAAGATGAAAACTGCCTGTAAACAGAGCGTGCCACATGAAATTTATATGCCCTTTTTTTTCCCCCAGAGGAAATATATTTCACATTTGTGCATGTCTTGTTAATTATTCATGTGATTTGTCCATAAAATTCAAGTACAACAGTGAATATGTAACGCAGAAGTAGAAAAGGACATAAAAACGACAAAAAAATCAAAAAGCCAACACAAAACAATTAGTCACTCGTCAACGTGTTTCAACTAAAAGTTTACTCAAAGCACACTCTTTTTTAATCTGATAGATCTACTTCCACTGTAGTCTCAGATGAGATAATAAATGTTACTTAGTATAAGTATCTTTTTTAATATCTGCCCTCATTAATATATTCTACTTGAAAGGAATGGAGTAGTTCATACAGAGTTCAAATGAATATGGTTTGATTTTGCAGAAAGTATCTTTTCTTTGAGTGTTGCCACTTACTGCATCACTTCAACATGAATTAAACATGAATTCATGATAAAATCATCAAAATGCAAAAAACAAAGAGATGGTAGAGGGATCAAAGGCACCTTCTAGTTGCTAGAGAAACCAAAACAGCAAATGAAATTGAAGTACACAGTACTCACACAATTTCCCAGGACAAGTGCACATAAAGTGCATGAAGAAACTCTTCATATATGTGTTTCAGCAGCAGAACTGAAATGAACAGAGAATAAATTCATTAATATTACGCTCAGATGGGTTAATAGTTGTAATATTAGTGGGTGGCACTTCTAAAAGAAACTGTAGCAGGTCACTGTGAAGAAGTTCACACTGTCACTATGCAAGTTGAGTGGGTAGAAAAAATTCAGATCCAAGTTTTGGAGAGAACTATTAACCAGGAATGCATCATTTACATCTTTTAGAGCCCAGAAGAAACTATATTAAAGAGTTCAGATTCACAGATTATGAATATGGAATGCAGCTTTCTAAGCTGCATATTCAAAAACATCACCGCACAAAAAAAGCATGTAGTGTAGGCCTGAATTTTTCTCAGTTCTCACTTCCCCCACATTCTCCTCTGCTACATTCAGCTAGCTTGCAGAGGCTCCAAAGATGCTGGTAGTAATATTATTTTATGTAATATGGAATCTGTCCAGTCTACTTACTCATTTCACAAAGATGACAGACAAAATAGCATATGGTAATGATTTTTCAGTCACGGTTGCCCTTGCTGGGATTTGAAAGGGGAAAGGCTCTGTATCCATTACTGACTCCCTGTATCACATCCTCCAGGGAATAAGAATTGTCTCCTTTGTTAGCTATTCTAATTCTCTGATTAATAATGATGGTTTTCATTTAAATATAAGCAAGAGAAGCAGCAAAGCAATATCTTCAGAACTTGTTACAAGACAACTGGTAGTGCAGTACTGCTCTGAGGGGAGCCAAAACCCACTGGTTACCCACATATCACATTGTAGGAGCCACTTTACAGGTTTTATTAGGATAGCCACTGCTGTAAATAACTCTACAAACAGAAAGGTCTCTCGTGGGTGAAAAGGGGCATGCCCTCCCCCTTGCCCTGGGGGCAGCTCTGTCTCTCAGGATGGGTTTTATTTTCCCTGTACAGTCCTGTGACCCCAAAAATCCCTTGCCTCAGTACTGGCCTGGGGATGCCAGCCATCCTGTCTCTGCACCACCTTAAGATTGCTGAAAGGATCAAAACTGGGAGAGGTGGAAAATAGCTTCAAGGAAGCAGGTCCTCTAGTACAAGGGCAAACTGCTTTGAGTATGACAGGCAAGGAGGAGGCAGGTAAGAAAGACATGCCCTGATTCCCCTTTATTTTCTGCTGGGTCCAAATGCAACGTTGTAAATGGCTGGATCGTTAATGTTCTTTATTTTAAAGCGTTAAAGAAAAATAGCATGTCTTGATGTCTAACATATCATGCTCTGTGTCCTTCCAACTAAGGATATTCTATGACTTGGTGATTATATATTAAGTTTCAAGGAAAAGAAAGGCAAACATTTCTGAAGTTCAACTTACTATAGCCTGTGCAGTACCCTTGAAGGACTAAGCAGAACTGGCCCTGGCATATTCATCATTCTGCTATTGTCACAGTGCTTGATTGAATGTTTTTTCAGGAGGTAGAGATTAAAATGAACCAGAACTAATTGAAGGTATATTTAATGAAAGCATCATCATTGTAATGAGTATACAACTGCTACACTAATGTTGAATAATGTTTAAGCTACTGAACAACTCCATATTGTTTCACCTAATGGGATTCAATGATTACCAAATAATTAATTCAACCCTATAATTTTGCAACATGTGGAAATGTGAAACCCACTCATAAATTAATTAATGCTCAAGTCAATAAAAGAGACAAGTGTCTGGGACTTACTACTGTTTCTCCTGAAATAAATCTAGGTATTATCACTTACTTTGAGCCATGCAGGATTGGTTTTGGTTCTTCAAGCATTTGGTTTAGTTATTATGTTGTAATACAAGTCTGGTAGACAAGGGCAAACACTCAGCTGCTCTGAAGGTTTTTCTCATCTTCAGTTATGCTAATGCTCTCATGGCATGGCTTCCTCTTACTTGAATTCTCAACATCTTTCCCACCCTGTCACATGCCCTTCTTTTAAATTTCTTGCATTTCTGATCAGCACATGGAATTTGAAGATACCATTACACTCCTCACTTCCTATTTTCCAGCTCAGTTACAATGGCTATTGGCACATTTGTTGCAAACACTCTTTACAGAACCAGAACCAGGAAAGTAAAAAGCCTAATGGATCCATTTTCAAAATACATTATTCAACTTTTTTTTTGTTTGTTTTGTTTTGTTAAGGAAACAAATCATCTATAATCACAAGTCACACTAAATACACGTATATCCTCATTCCTGGAAATACCCTTCCTTGGAAGCAGTCTGCTACCTGAAACCATTTTAACTTTAATGGAGATTGGTGTAAAACCAGCAAGATTTCTCTAAGTTCATTTGTGTGGCTAGGGCCCCAATTATTTTAAATTAGGACTACTGTGTTTTAGATATCCTCCTCAAACCTTTTTGCCCTACATAGTTCACAATCAGTGGGATAGGCAGTACCTCTTTCACTGAATAAAAATTACTATTGAGCCCTCTATACAATCATGCAGATCTGGCAAGTACAACCACGGGGGTTCGCAGAGTTCTTACAAAACCAACCACATTAACAAATGTATAGGAAAACCAGGACAACCATATTAATCTTTAAATAGGACGGGGTAAAATATTTAAGCTCTCTCATTTAGGCAAAGCAGTGCTCTGATTAGGCTATTCAATTATTCTTAAATATTTGGAAGAGAACAAGCAGCAGTCTTACATTTAGAGTTTATGGTCAGTAATAGATTTTTGTCCACATACAGCCTCTGACTTGTCTCCAGAACTCAAAGTACAGCCATACCAGTAACACCCTTGATAAGGTTTTCCCTTACACATAACACCTGTGCTCCACAGAGAATGGGCCTCAGCTCTTGATGGTGCTGTCTTTTCTGGCCTGTGTCAGAGAAAAGAGCACCCAAAACATAGTGTGTGTGTGTGTGTGTGTGTGTGGTTTTTTTGTTTTTTTTGTTTTTTTTTTGGTTGGTTGGTTGTTTTTTTTTTTTTCAGGGTAGGAGATTTGGGGAGATAGGATAGGAGAGCAGAAATTTTCTGAGGTGCAACAGGTGTCCCCATGGCATGGTGTGGTATTTAGTTCATCACAAGGCTTGGGTTTCCTGAAACAAGATTCAGTTCTACATTTTATTGTTCTCTTCCACCCCATCCTCCTGCAAAAATTTTATGTCTGAGCTCCACCATGAAGTCCATTAAGCACAAACCCCATTAAGCACAAAGCCATTGCACGCGCTTGACAAGCCTGAAGATGACTGGGGAAAGTGGTAAGTTGGCTACATTCTGCTTTTGTGGTGAAGCTGCTGGCATGACACGACACAAGAGATACTGAAGTAGGGGGGCAAACCATTAGTGTTTTCTAACCAAGCTGCCCTGCAACACTGTCAGAGTGAAAAGAGACTTTAACATGACAAAGGGTGTAGATGAATGTTTCTACTTTCATTTAATCCCTCTAACCATATAAACCAGAAACTTTAAATCAAGAATTTTAAAAAAGCACTAGAGTTCCTCATTCAGTTTCACAACTCTTGTAATCAAGTCCTTAAAAATAAATAAATAAACAAAATAAAAAGTCCAAATGCTTTTTCTGAGCCTTTTGGAAAACTGACCAACCAAACAAAAAACACACAAGAAAGCATTTGGTGGTAAACTTTATTTCCCCCTCTATATCTTTTCAAGGAAATTCCAGAAAACTTTCAAGTTGTCTTGAAAGCACTATGGATGGCAGAGAAATGACAGAACCCTACAAAATGCCCTCCTTCTGCCCTTCAAAACTATCAGAAACCCTTTCTGTTCCCATCTATATCGCTGACTTCTCTTAATTAACATATGGACCTCATGGAACAGAAACTTGAAGAGTTAAAGCTTAATAGGAATGGCAAAGCTGAGATAATACAGTAATAAATGCTACAAGTTAGACAAAACTTCCAACAGTGTGCATGAACATTGCACAAATGACACAATTATTTACAAACTATTAAAAAAAATAAAAATAAAAAAAAATCCAAGCCCCAAAAAAATCTAACACAAATAAACATGTTTTACTCCTGTGCATCTTAAAATAAGAGTAAGATACAAGAGATTTCCCCTTATATTTAGAAATACTGCTAAGGTTTTCAGGAATCTATCTCCTTCAGGTAGCTTGACACTTCTTTTTCATTTCTAACATCCTATCAGTCCTAATTCAAAAACAGACAAGCAGAGTAATAGGTGGCAAAAAACATCTAGAAGGTGAGATAACTCCAAAGAAGTGGAGCTGGCTATGGCAAATAGCCGTTAAATTGGCAAAAGGAAGTGAAAATTGAAATAATAAACTTTAACCTCACCCAGAACACAGACAGAATGCTAGGGCATGTCCAGTCTGTGTGACTGCCCTGGTCTGCACTGACACCACAGCAAAAGAGGAGTAAGAGGCGATAGCTGAATAGGTTTTCTTTTTTCTTTTTAACAAGAGATTATATATACCTTCCCGATTCCTGCCTCGTATGCTGCCAATGAAAAGTTTGAAACAAGAGTTCTGCAAGATCCCCAAAGCAAAAGAGGGAAATTAGAGGTATCACAGGTTACTTAATGGGGTCCCAAGAGAGGCAGCAAGTCTCTTGGGTTATACAAGCATTCTTCCAAAGACAAACATGCTCTGAAACATTTACAGTCCAAACAGAAAATACCTGAAAAGCAAGGATTGCTACACCCATCTTGAATCTGGAAGGCTGAGGTATTCAGTAGTTTATGTGAAGGTATGTGGGGTATCTGTAGCAGAGCAAAAGTGGAATTGAGATCGATGTCTCCACTGTCTCCACCAGTCACATAACTATTCTTCCTCCCAAAATTGTTCTTAATTTCTTCTTTTTTTGTGTGTGTGTGTGTGCTGTCTTCTACATAATATTAATTGTACTAATAAAGAGTAGAAAGTAGAAGTGTATTAATTTACATTTTAATTAATGGTTTAAATGAAAATTTGAAAATAATTGTACTATAACGCAAATTATTATAATTGTCCCACAGAAGTGAGTGGATTTATTCTGCCTAATACAAATTTTCTCATCTGGCCCCGTATA